CCGACAGAGGCACGGGAAGGGGAAAAAAGATACGGCGTGTGTGTTAAAAGAATTTAAATTGGCATCTGTCGGGTAAAGAGCCTGGAATTACTGTAAAAGTCTCCGATCTTCGCCCACGCGCGTTTATTACCAAAATCTTCGCTTCTCTCTACCCTTTCCCGCCCCTTCCCCGCCCCGCTTCTCTTCCTCTCGTTCGCCTCGGCGCCGGGGTGAACGGTTTAGGTTAAATTCGTGAGGCAGGCAACCCTCTTATTTACTTTACCGATCCGCGGAGATCACGCGCATTCGATAAAAAACGATCTCAAGCTTTTTTCACCTTCCTCTTCCTCTCAATTGCTTTTCGTTTCTCGTCGCGATAATGATAAGCTTCAATATTAATAACTATTCCGATTCAAGTCAATTACTTAGATCGACTTACTTCTTGCGATACTACCTTCCTGTTTCGACGATTTCTGCTTTTAAGAAAATTGGCATATGTAACAGCACTTAAATATCAATAGAAAGCTACTATCATTAGTAAGCGATAGACAGTATAAAAACGATCACTGATTATTCGAGGCACGATACTGCAATATAATTCATTCCTGTAATATAATTTCTCGGAACAAAAAATAAAAATGATTTATGTCGCTGCGCGGTATAATCAGAGTACGCTAAAATGAGTAAAAAATGTGATTCAAGATACACTCACTCAACCGAGACAATATACATATAATTATGCTGATTAACGTTACATCGTAATAAGTGTAACTAAGTAGATTGCAATTTCCATAAATTAAAAAAATGAGATATAAATAAATGAAATATAAATAAAACTACATAGTAAAGTACATATACATAAATAGAGTAAGTATAATCAACGCCTAATAAAATTATCGAAAGTCGCTTTTATAAGTAGCGATTATTTTACAACGTGACATTATGCAACGTTTTATTAATTGCGCCGCGGACCAAGATTTCATAATTTGATGAAAAATTATACGTCAAAGAAAGGCAGAGTGAGGAATATTAGATTTTTAGATAAATACGGCTCGTATATCACGTCACTTAAATCTGAGTTCTCTCTTGAAATACAAAATCGCCGAAATCGACGTCGGCCTGAGTATCTTGTTCGAACACCTGTGTAAACATCCGAAAAGCAACGCGGAACCGCGAGAATTCGCCGTTCATTTGTTTCAAGGGTATTCTGGCGTTAGTGAATCCCGAATCCCCGCGTTCCTCGGCATCTTGTCTCTCGATCGCGCCATCGGTGCCTTTTGCGCGAGCGAGAGAGATTTTCGGACGCTTCGTATCTTTTTATTTACCGCGGACGGGCGATCTTGATATCCGCCGCTCGCCAACTGAATGTCACGGGGGAATAAAACATTGTTTACCGATAGAAGCTGCACGGACGCGGACGCGTACCAAACCGTGATATACAATACCGCTCACCATCGTTATTTATGCATCTTCTCCCTCCGCTTTCAGTTATCTCGCGCTTTATCTTTCCTCATGCGTTCTGTCAACCGTTTCGACGAGTCAAATTATACAAAACGAACATACGCATCTCGTAAATTGTGCTGGGCAAACGAGATAAATGAAATTCGCGTACTTGTTTTTTTTTTTTTTGTTTTTTCAATCTTTCGCATTTAACAATAAGTGTAGGTAAAGATCTAAAACATCGATAGGAAGATACGAATATTTTGCAGCAGCCGTTATGAAAGCAAACATGTTTTTCAACAAATCGACGTACGTGCATTTCGGTATGATTCCCGAAAAAATTCGCCGATATTCGCGAACGAGTTGTGGAATGCACACTCCCCGTCGTTGAGAATCAAACTCTTCCTTCTGAGAGGAGACGAAGTATCAACGACGGTATTTACAGACCGGAGTGCGCTTTAAAGGATCGGTCGGTACTCGAGTGACTTACGAGGAGCATTTCGCTCGATACGAAATACATTCTACTTGAAGCGCGTAAGGGAAGGAAGATTTATTGGATACGAAAGACGTTGCGGCGAACAAATGGCACGGCATTAAATTTTAAGGAAGCATAATTAGTATTGCGGTATCCAAAATGTCTTGCTATCAGAACGCGTCTGTCTTGTGCGATAAAGCCCCGTACGTCTTTTGTAATATGATCGTAATAGCAACGGATTGACGGTAACTTGTTGCAGCATATTACCACACATATCGTGTTGCACGTAATACCGATTGTTATGCAAGTGTCAGCGACAAGGAAGGAGAAAACAAAGTTATCGATAAATGTGCAACAATGCCGACTTTTCCTTCTATTAAATTATCAATTATCTATATCAATTATGTAATACATTTACGAAAAATGTGACTCATGCGTAATTATATTACCAATTAAAAAAAAAAATTATCTTATCAACTAAAAATTCGACTGGCTTTGATTTTCGCCAATATCGCTCTATGATTTGGATGCAATTTCGCCGTTCAACAGAATGTTCGTCCCGGCAAGCCGCGCGCGTTAAAAAAGAAATTCGCGTCTCGCGAGACATCTTAGAGAAAGACCTCGATCACACGTAGGTGGAAAGACGCGAGGCATCCGGTCCTCCGTCTCGTCCTCCCCCTCATCCGTCTCTCTTCCACCGGCGCGCACACTTTCGTCGTTATTGTCACCGGTTGACCTGTTCTTTTTTCCTCGACTCCACCTTTCATCGCCGAAAAGGCGGAGGGCCTCGACTGAAATTTCAACCAAACACACTCCTCACGGCCGACTCGGCAGTAAAAAAGCGAGCCCGCGCGCCTTCGCCCGCTGGTTTGCAACGTGAGATAAAGACGGCAAGAGCGATTGGCCCGCGCACCGTGCCTTCCCTCTCGATTGATCTTCTCGATCGCGCTCTCTCTCTCTCTCTTTCTTTCTCTCTCTTTCTCTCTCCCTCTTTTTCTCCCATATCGAACCTGTTGTAAACGCGAGACAGAGCGAAAATCAGTAAACGAGCAAGAAAGAGAGGCCGGAAGATCGAGGGTTAACGTAGCGAGGGAGAAAATGGGGGAAGGGACATGGGTTGAAGAAAGAAGCATATTAGTGAAAGAGGGAAGAGAAGAAGAGAGTCAAAAAGGACTCGAAAGTACGTAGTGGCGAACCAGGGCCACGGCCAGGACCCGACCTAAATGCGGGTCGAGGCGCGGGAGGGCGGTTGATATCGAATTTATCGGGTGTCGGGTTGCAACCACTCGTGCTCTGTCTTTAAGCACGCATCCACAGCGTTTTGCCGGGCCAACGCGTCCACGAGATTGCCGGAGACTTTGACTCGATTTGCTACGCTCCGGGAGCGATGACGTACTGCGCGGCATTACGAACAGGATCGGACGACTGCGGCTCCCGATTCCGTCGCACGTCCGTCAGGGAGGTGTTGGTCGTTTTGCATAATAGAACGCCCTTAGGACTCCTACTGCGATGTTCACGCGCATTTTTGACCCATGCGAAATCGAAGCTAAGTCACGATATCTCGATATTATAAAAGATATTAAAACGAAAATATATATTTCTTAATATCTAACATTCAAGAAATAACACCGTATTAATATTGTATATTCATGCAATTAAATATTCACATTATCTCAACTTGCATTCGATTTAAAGGATGCTCTCAGCTTACATGTGTACAAAACGGCAATTAGGAAATTAAATTTTTACTGCTCTGAAAATCGTGGAAAATCGTAGAAATTCTGTTCCCGTATTTTCTTTTGAAAAATTGCTATCACCTGTGCCACAACGTTCCCATATACTAATCGGACATTGCAATCGAGTTCACGAATGCGCAAACAACATCACATGTTTCTGACGCTGCGCATCTCGAACACGCAACACGTGGAGTTATCGAGGGTTGAGTGGCTTGAGGAGAAGGTCGAGGCACTAGACAGATGTTGATTAGGTGGTGCTCGGGGCATCCTTTCCTTTCGTTCCACCGGTCTCTCTATATTCTCTCTCTCCCTCTATCCTTCTTTCTGTTTCTCTAACTAAATCCCCCTCTTATTCTCTTTTTCCGTCGTTTACCTCATACCCTTTTCGTCCCCTTATATCGTGCTTCACCGTCAGTCTCGCCGCTTCTGTTTTCAGACACGAAGCACGCGATTTTTGTTCGCTTGTGTAATCGACACTACTACTGTTGTCTACGTCGTTCGTCTGTTTGTCTGTCTGATATAGTTGATTCCTCGCACGGCCGAAATATTCATGTCCGATAAACGATTATTTATTGCATACCATGTTGCTATTAATATCAATCACAAGAGTCATTTTTTTACCCACATCACACCTGCCATCGTCGACGTGATTATTTTTGCTGAGCAAAATAATACGGAAAAGTTATTCTTACGAAATATTTCAGATAATATCTTTTAAATGTACACGAAATTTGTTATTTTCAATAAGTAATAATTTTTGCTTAATTGGCTTATTTGTTTAATGTAAAGATATAAATATGGATATAGAATTTTCTTCATTAGATCTACTATGTCAGTGAATTTACTGTGTTAGTAAATTATATAAATTGTTGAGTGAAAAATACATTTATGTACATTTATGTTACCGTTCATAAATACCATTGATATTTATGAAATAAATGTATAAGAAAAGTTTATAATAATATTATTATAAAATTTTAGAAGTAAACTTACAAACAGAGCAAAAAATGTGTAAAATTATTATGTTAAATGATTATATAACAAATGCAATACAAGCAACATATTTTTGGATTCAATTTTCCTTTATGCAAAGAAATATTTTTCAATATATAAATTTCAAAAAGATTAATAATGAGACTAAGGTGGAATATTCCAGACCAGCTGTATCACCGGTTAATAGCAAAAATTTTTATATAAAAATATTAAAGTTACAGCAATTTTTAAATAGAAAGTTGACCAATTAAACTGTCAAAAATTTACATGCTCTGGCACGTCGCATGTTGATTTTTATATCCTCACCAAATGAGAAACCTCAGAAATCTGCTACTAATTGGTAATATGATTGGTTAAAATTAAAACAATTCACTTACCTTAATATAATGCAGAGATTTCTTGATTTAACGATGTACTGCTCAATGATGTAGGATGACTTTTCCTGTCTTTCTTCTTTTCTCCGAAATTTCTCGTGAAAATCCTCTTTAAAAATTCAGGTTTAACACTCGCGACACAATCTGAAAATTACACATGATTACAATAAGCACTTCCAATATTCTCACGATTTATTTTTGTCAAGTAAAAGTTGTAGATAGAATGTGGAAACAATAATAGATTGCACTACATTTGCTTCGACATCAAAATATTCTGTATTTCTAACATCAATCTGTGTGATGTGTAATTTTCTTATAACGCATAAAAATTATGAAAATGACAAAGGACTTCAATTATATGTAAATGTTTAAATAACGCAATGATGATTAAACAGGTTTATGTACCTGATCGTACTTGTGATTGAGTAAAGGTTAAACGCACGTAAAGGTCAAAGCTCGTGTACATACGAGTAGGTCAAAGATCGTATGCTATACAAATGCGCTTTATACACAATATACGTAATAAATTATGATATAATTATAATTTTATAACAATCTTGTAATATTTGTAAAAATATATATGTATACTTACGTATTATTCGATTTCTGATGGTTCGGTTAAATGTTCTACTGATATTTAGCGAAGACACAAAATATGCGCAACCGAACACGACAATAAAGCGAAATGTACTTGTTTCGAAAATGCTCCGATATTCAGCGCCGAGATATAACACACTTCCGAGAAAGATTATGGTTAACTTACGCCTCGAATATAATTTTAATGACGCCGACAAGAACTTCTCGCGATTTACCTTTACATTGAATTTTCGACGATTCTATAAAAACAACTAATAGAAAACAGCGCAACACCGAACTTCTGAGAAGTGAAATTCTAGGAATATGGCAGTTGCGTCTAGCCGCGCAACACATCACGCGCTTCTGGAGACAATGCGCGGAGACGAACTAGTCCCTAACTCGCGGTGCTCACTTTTCTATCGCAGTTTGTCGCTCTATTACACTATTTCTTTTTGAGATAAAAGAGAGTTGTACAAAGCAATATAATGTTGAGTTGAATATGGTATTTATTTTCTTCATATAACGACGACGTGACGACTAATGACGATGTAATTTTTCGCGGTTTGTATCAAGTGCGTTTGGAAATCGACTTCTCATTGGTCATAATTGAAGGGATCACATTTACGAACGTACTTTCCGTAAATTCATGAGAAATTAAGGATGCCATCTACCAGATGGCATCACTGTGAGAAATTGCCGTTAATAATAAGTTGTCGGACCGTCGTTGCGTAAAGATGCTGCATTTCTCACAAATTTTTGTCGCAATAGTGAATCTTATATGCGTATTAATATCGAAGTGCTGATATCACGCGATTATCACAGAGAGATAAATAATATCCATATGTACCTTAATCTTGTAGCGGGTTTGCCAATAAGTTAGTAATGAATATCGAATGATTCCGAAACAATCAGGCGGTAAGAGAGGATATATTTCAACATTTTCACAAATTATGTCTTTTCGCTAAATATTATTAATATATATAGTATAACGTTGGAAATAGTAAATAATATATATTACAAACAGTTAGATCGGCCGCGGAACTAAAATTCTGAGAAACAAAATTCTAAGAATACGGCATTTGAAACTCGATAGTTCATTGGTCATAATTGGGGAGATTTGTGAACGCATTCTTCGCACCTTCTGTGAGAAGTTGTCGCCGTCTTCATTAGTCGTCGAGCCGTTATTACGCCATTGTTGTTAGTCGTGCAAATATGTTGCCGCATTTTTTACGACAAATTGTCGTCGTGAAAGTAAGTTATATATGTTTACACATTAATACCGGTAGTGTCGAATCGCGTAAAACAATCGTTATATTGTATGTAGAGTGCGCGGCGCGTACAATCTTTAACCTCTACGCATGTTTATCTTTACTCGATCACAAGTACGGTTATGTATTCAAATACTGCTTAGTCATCGCAATGTTACTTTAACATCCATACGTAATCAAAGTCTCTCAGTATTTTCGTGATTTTTGTGCGCCGTAAATGAATCCCACGTACAGATTGATATTAGAAATGTTGAATATTTTGATATCGGAATTGTATGTGTTGTATGTATCGGGAAGTGTTGAAGCAAGTGCGATCTATTATATTTTTATATATTCTATCTGCAACTCTTACTTACCGGAAATAAATCTTGCGAGCACCGGGAGTGGCGATTGTATATGATTTTCGGATCGCGTCGGGAGTGCCGATTGTATGATTTCGGATCGCGTCGCGTGTGTTGATTCAGAATTTTCAAGGATTCTTATCCTTTCGAGTCATCGAGGAGCATGAAGCGGCACATTGCATGGACCATCGAGAGATCCTCGTGTATTTATTAAGGTACTTTGTTAATTAAGATATTTATATTTGTATATATGTATGTAGATATTTCTTTATATATCTATATATATGTATATACATACTGATTTGTTTAAATGTTTTATACTTGTTATAAAATTTAACATAAATATCATTGAATTTGCAATATTGCAATTTGTCGAAATTGGAAGTGCAGACGCTAATTATTTATTATACAAAGCAGCACGTTAATTATTTATTATTAGATCTATTACAGATAATTTCTGTAATGTATTGAACAATTCGAATAAAACTATAAATTATGTTGCTGTTAGGATTATTACCGAGTTCTTATCTGAATGTTAATAGAAATTAGCAGAGTTTCCAGTATGATTAATGATCTCTGCTTAGATGGCTTATAATGATTTATACATTACAGAGTATGCCTTCATTTGAAATCATGGATATTTATTTCTTTCAAAAATCGTAAACTTTATTTTAAAAAGTTTTTTATTATTGCTTTGATCAAAATAGATTTTGAAGATGCAATTTTTATCCTCGTCGAGCAGTTAAGCGTACAATTCTAAAATATTTTCAACAATAGATTGTAACGCACTAACAGCTTTACTTTCTTCTAACAAATTTGTTATTGTCGTTGTTTGCTGTTGTTAATTTGTTTGTGAATGCCACGACCTCCATGGCCTCTGCGGAAAAGTCGACGGGCCTGTCAGCTTCTTCATGGTCGATACGATCGACGGCAAAGCTGTTAGAAACGCCGTTTTGTTGAATACGTGAGTTAGGGATGACGGTAGATACGAGGCAAATGCGGCTCGTGGCAGCCGGCAGTCATTTAGATAACCGCATCAAAACTGCACCCTATGACGTGTGTGTATCTCTATGTGCTTCTTCATTTTTTACGAAAATAAAGGTCCGCCACGGGCCTCGAATTAGAAATGTAGTCGCGGCATGGCGATGCAAGGGCAGGAGAGATAGAAATGAAGTGATTCGTATGCAACCCGTGAAGATACCGTACGCACGGTCGCAGTGCCGCTTTTACGACATAGAAAAAAAAAAGAGGAACGCGGCGAGGATGAGGGAGTAAGGACGTGATACGCGGCATCGTCCCACCTCCACTACTTCTTTCATTGCCCCGGCCGGAAGTGCGCTGTTCGTCGTTACTGCGAGACGTGGTTTTATTCTAGTTGGCATTCGTCATACCGTGCGCTTGTACGACGCTTGTATACCGGCGTGCCTTACCGTCGGCATGCATTTCTACTTGACGCGCTCATTGGCGAATTCCAAAACCGCCGCGCGGTCTCGGAGCGGAATTTTAATATCTGTTTATGATACGTACACGTGAGGTGAGGTCACTCGTGTCACTCGTGGCAGCGTAGTTCTCAGAAATAAATCTTGAGAAGTCAGTTTTTTGATAAAGAGAAGAAAGATAAAATATTAAAGCCATAATATTCTTTGTTTTCCTGACTCGTTTTCTCCACGTATGCTTTGCTATTCTAATACATATCTGGTAAAATTTTAAGGTGTTTTTTCTTGAGAGTATCTTAATTAATCGGAGAGTATAGTGTGTGCTGTCTTGAAATTAGAGATATTGACAGTACTTTAATATTAAAATTATACGTTTACTGTTAATTTTTGTTTTCGCGACGATTCCGCAAAATTATCGTATTTTTGCGATACACGATTATTTCCTTATTGATAATTTCCTGAATATTCCGCGAACAGGACCGTAATTAATGATACTGCTCCGTTAGCCAGAGCCGCATCATATTCCGTGCCGATAAAACGACCGGATAGTCGTAAATTCGTTTTTGCTCGTCTCCCTTCACCAATTCCTTCCTTTCGCGCTGATCGGTAATTCGTTCCTTGCCCTCTACCATGCTCTGCTTTCCTTTTGTAACGCATTTAAACGTGCATCGACTTTGCACGCGAGCTGAATTTCGTGGAACGTTAGAACGCGATTGCATAGAAGGATTTCGTATACATGCGTTTAAAGATGCGCGAAGCCGAAGTAGGGATCTAGAGAATCATCCTAGAGAAAATACTTCACGAAGCTCGTCATAACGAAAGAGAGAGAAAGAGAGTGGCATTACTTGCAATGAGGTGAAAGGATTCGAAAAGTTGCGCGGGAACAAGGGATCGTTACGAAGAGGAAATTACATTGGTGTTCTGGACTCCATCGGTTTCCTATTAGCAATAAAATCGGCCGGTACCGACGGCGGTGGCGCACATTCGCCGGGGTAATTCGTCGGTGCGGTTTGTCGGTCTGTCGCTTCGGTGTCGTCCTTTAAAGCGTTCTCGAGAGCTTGCTCTCGATGCATAACCGATGTTGCATCGATTATTGGAGTCGGTGCCACGACGGGGTCGGATTGAGATCGAGGACCGGACGCAACGCATCGTCCGAGCGATCTGTCCCGGTTCGGTGGACGTCCGATTTAACGATCGCGCGCGGTTCGACGCCGATTGGCCGTCGCGTGATTCACGGTCCGTAATCGGTACAGCCGACCGTCGAAACGGAAATTAAGAAAGGGCAGACGCAGGAGAAATGGAAGGGCGATAGTGGATGCAAAAATCCAGAGATAAAAATGAGAAAAAATTTACGAGGATACCTTGACCGCGTGCTCTAAAATTTCTTACTCTGACGTTCTGTAAGGTGACGTTTTTTAAGATGCACACATATATTTTCGTTAATTATCATATATGCAAATTTAATCGAAATACTTGATAATAATATTAGCACGAGATAATTTTATAATTTGCCATGTAGAATTACGAGCAAACGAGTCGTTAAATTTGTATTTTTTGAACGTTAATGGCAAAAGAGACCGCGAATTAGAAAAGATTTTATTGTGAACGAAACGAGAAGAAAAAATGACGAGAAAGGAGAAAAAGAATGGGAGAGAACAACGAGCGCGGTTTAGGTTGTGCATACGTAATATCTGATTACACATTTGAAAACTGGAAGAATACTCGATTGTCCTTGTCTCTGGCGAGATAGAGAAAGTCGAGAATACACAGTTAAGAGAAAGAGTAAACTTTCCGAGGCAGAAGAAAAGACGTAGATAAAAGAGTCGAGACGAGAAATAACAAGAACACAAAAGTCGAAAGTGAGAGAGGAGGAAGAAACACGAGGTAAGGATAAGTTTGTCGGGACAGGATTGTTTTGCCGGTGATGTGATAATACTTAGCGTAAGTATATTTAAAGAGGACGTAGTAGCTAAGGAATTGAGCTCCGAATCTAACAATAAGAAATTGAGCGAAGAAGAGGGAATGTTCGAGAGGAGGAGGCTATGTTGGTCCACGAAAAGCAAATTGTTAAAAAAAGCAAGCGTGTCGAGGGCTGCACGAGATGCATTTTTCTTCCGTCCGGATCCTCATCCTAGTTGTCATCGAGTCAAGGAAGAAAAGAGAGAAAGAGGCAGCGAGAAAGAGTAAAGGAATGAGTAGCTGGCTTTGAAGAAAGATAGAAAGAGAGTAACCGAGAGGATCTGGCAGCGGCGATGGCGATGAGGACGGCGGCGGCGGCGGCGGCGACGCAATCTATTGTCCTCGTATCCACAGCCTTTTTCAATTCAAATTGAAGCCGCAAAAAAAGCGCAGGGCACGCAAACATCTGCGGGTGCAGATATACATATACAAACGCGTATACGCGCACACACAGCCCGAAAGCTGGTCCATCTTTCGTCTCTCTCGGGCTATCGCTCGTTTTCGTCCACGTCGAGAGAGGGTCGATTCTATCTGACCGTAAATATCACTGTCACAAACACAGGTAGCGCGGAGGGCACCCGCCCTTCTCTTTTACACACGCGCGTATCGGCATAATGCATCGATGCGAGAAAGAGCTCGCTTATGCGTCGGCAGAACGGGCCTAACCGAAAGCGAGTGTTTCTTTTATCGATTCGCGTTTCGGATTCAAGAACAATGTGTTTTGTACGGATCCGAAAATTATCGAGCATATTTTTGTAACTCCGATCGCTCCGCCTAGCTAATAATTTCTTGATAACAGACACATTCGTGGTCGTTTCTTCGTTAAGTGAATATCTTTTATTGCGTTTTTACGCCGACCAACGATTTACATAACACGATAGCAGAGCTCGAATACCGAAAGAGAATGATGATCGTAATAATTGTAATTTATGCGATTAATTCTGAAAAACCGGTATGCGCGAAGTCACGGTAGGGAAAGACCCCCTGACCTGTCTTAAACCTATAAATGTCGCCACTCGACGCTTTTTGCGGCACACGGGAAGAGCCTTCTCTTTCATAAATTCTATTTTACTTGGTAATCATGTGAAATGTGTATTATATAAGGAGAAATCAAGATCAAATGATGAGCGATGCGCGACATGCGTGGCATTAAGCGGCGCGCGTTAGCGCTTATGTTATCTTTTTGCACGAAGGAAGTTAAATGTAGTTAAAAATACGGATTACAGTGACTTGAGCGACGATAGTGAATATTCCTTTTGACGATTAAACGATCGTGTTACATGCGCTAAGTTAAGAATATCGCATAAAATGCGCTTATTTCATTTACATTGCAAATGTGACTAATCCAAAATATTTTGTTTGCTTTCAGGTAAGACATTAAATCCATCACTTACGAGTTCGATTAATCAGTCACGCGCGAGCATGCCTGCAGGACGCAAGATATGTAAGTAACAAATTGCTTTTGGATCTGTTTGGAGATGAGACGATACACAGTTCTAATCAGAAAAATCCGTTTAACTATCCTTAATACGGCTTGCCGTATAAAAAAAGATTTAATTATTAATCATGAATACCGACGCGCTCATAAACATAAATTCAACATCGATCAGCCGTGACGTCCTGTCGAATTCAGCACCGGAGATTGTTGGTTCGGCAAAAAGATGAAAAATGCTTCGAGTCTTGTATTTCGTGCGGACGTAAATTATAATTGATCGAGGCAACGATGATGGAAACTGAGATTTACTATTAACTCGTGATTTAATGTTATTTATGCCAATTCTCCTTCGAGCAGTTAAAGAAGTATCGCGCTTATTAAATAT